AGAGAGACAGGATAAGCCGCTTTCATGGATATTTGATGAAAGTTCTCGGATTCAGGTAAAAGAAACGTCCTCAGTGTCACCCGACTTTAGGTCAGCTAGGATCTCTAGTTTTTTCGCACAACCAAGTGCTAACTGCAAACCAGCAGGAAGGTAGTGTATGGTTGCCAGTGATGGTACTCTGGGGGAGGAGGAGTCCACGCATCCATGATGAGTACGAAGTCATTGCCTTGACCATTGGATCGTGCAAGTGACTTCGTCCGCCCAACGCCTCTGTACTGCATCAACTCGTTAGACGCTGACTCACCCGAAGTGGACCTTCCGGTTAACATTAACCTGGTGTGGACCACCTGTCGAGTGGCTTACCGGAGTATGACCGCTGTTGCATCCATAAAGCTTCTGGGAGCCACAGGTGAGAGCTGAGGGTCTGGTGAAAACCAAAGAACGGAGGTTAACCCAAAGGGGCCTAGAGTCCTCCGAGTCCGAGATGCTACCCCTACCGGGTACCCTATACACCTAAAACATTCCATCACATAGGAATTCATGCACGCAATCACACACACAAGCAGTATGTATTAGAAAGCAAACGGAACAGATGAAACCACATCGGAACACCACAGTACAGTTTTTTTTTCGTACTACTGCTGCGTGGTGATTTTGTCTCTAAACCATGGGTAAACATAGTTACACGGGAGTTTTCACATTTCTCTGAGTCGGGTATAAAAATGAACAACAACTACGGACGTATTGCATAATACCTATACAACTATTGTCATCCACGCAATCCGAGTCGTTTGGAGGCGAAGCGCAGACGATGAATTCCGATTCTCTCTCTCTGGCTCGTTCGGTTCTATGTTTCCGGTTCGCAACATCTGGGTCGGTGAACTACCACTAGCAGTTCACTGAGGGAAGTTGACTACAAACCCTGATTCCAAACCAACCAATTGGAGGTGTACGAACTACACACACAATAACACACCTGCCTGGTTGTGGCACAGGTCACGGAATCAATGGGGCTTTGAGGTGTATTGGGCACCATAGACGTTTGACTCCGTCCAAGGGCCTTATGATCCGATGAACTGGACATTGGTGACCCTCAATGGATTGCGGTTTTCACACACTATTTGGATGTCATGCGGGTTAGGCTCTGGTGAATCCATGAATCGAATTATCACAATAATTCTTCGAAACTTTTTCGTCTCAAATCCACTCCCCCCGAGCTGCAAACGAGGTTTGCATTGCATAATTGTCATCGGGAGTTCAAGTATAAGAATGACCAGACAGAAGACTACCGGATACTCGCATATCTGAAGAGCGGCGAAAACCGCGTGTTTGCTTCTGGGAAATTTTGTTCAATAATTCATATACAGCTCATTATATATATATATATATATATATATTGTGATGTATGACATTGACCTCGACAAATTCATTGTACACTTTAAATGCATTGAATATGTATAGTATACGATTCGAATAAATTCCGTGTGCTATTTGATTCGAGGTTGTTCTATTTAGGGGATAGGTATTTCACGAATTCCGGAACTCTATTTCGAATACTATTCACAACACTACATTTGGCGTCGGGGCCGATCTACGGAACAATAAATTCGACTCCATTAGAATCCCTAGCTCTCACCTGCATTGCACGCGATATCGAGGATTATTTGGAATGTTTTGAAAGTTGGCGGTTGACTCGTTCGAAACCTGTTGAGGAAAAGAAAGCCACTTTCTTCCGGAATACTGCCGGTGAAAATGTCTATACACTAATCAAAAACTTGGCCTATCCTTCTCCACCTGTGACTGTACCGTACGAGGATTTAGAATCCCTCCTCCTCCAGCATGTGAAGCCAACGAACTTCGAAGCCTCAGAACGAGCAAAATTTCATTCAATGGTACGCAATCCGAATCAGGGCATCTGTGCATTCATCCTGGATTTGCTCACTCAAGCTGCAAAGTGTGATTTTGGAGATTCACTGGACATGCATTTGAGAGACCGACTGATCGCTGGTCATCCGATCCGACGTTCAAAGATGTGCGGGCCCATTGTGAACAATATCAGGACATTCACGTTGCCACTTCATCCAAGCCGTCGACCTACAGCCATATTCAATTCACTCAAAACTAAATCCACGAAAGTTCATGCCACAGCCGGACTTTTCAAACCAGTTACACGATGTAGCTGACACAATGTGACATATTCGGATAAATCGTTTGGCAACTGTGCATCCTGTGGCAAATGTCATTCCAAATTCACATGTCGATGCCGTTGCGCTTCATGTTACAAGTGTGGCAAAACTGGTCATATTCAGTCTGTGCTGTAGTACCGAAATTTTTCCTTTAATTCAATCCAATCCTGCAGAAGTAAGTGTCACAGAAAAACATTTGTTTTCTCTATCTTTGGCAACTACCTTCCATTTCGTAAACAAATATTCAGTTCGGATGGTGAATGTTTGGACTAGCCCATTCGGTTGTTCAGAGGCACCAGGCACTGTTGATGATGTTGAGTGATGTGGGTTTCACTCCTTGAGGGATCGTTAATTCCCCACTGTTTGTATACGGCTCATTATATATACATTATTATCATTATGATTATAATATATATGATATATATATATATATATATCACTGTCGATTATGACTTCAGTAATACTAGAATAGTTTCATCAGAGAAGCCATCGAAATTTTTTTCCATATTAAATAAATACAATGATTAAACTACACGCTTTTCCCATCATGCTTCAGCTTGGTTTAGTCTCGATCCACAATCCTTTAGTCATGAACCACAATACTCTAGACACGATCAGCCTCGACACAAAATAATAAAAATAAAACTTTAGTCATATCGCACAACAAAGGTTGAAACAGTTGGTTTTCTACCGATATTGAGAAGCTCCGTTGTTTAATGAGCCGGTCTGGTAGTCGCATACAGTATCACAGGTGGATTGGAGAGGTTTCACACGATACGCACCGGTATCATCAAACCATTTACCACATCATGTGCAACTTCAGTGTTTCCGTATAACATGCGAGATATTTCTGTGATTGAAAATCGGAAAATGTATCACAGGCGGTATATTGTATTGTGCATCCACAATCCCTAACATGAATCAAGAAGTGACACCATAGAAAAAAATTAAATTCCTCAGTGCCGTATTTTCACTTCAAGTGTACTTCGATTGTTTTGACAGGTCATCATACCGATTTGCAAGAAAGGTGACAGATCCTCTTGTGAAAATCATAGAGGAATTAGTTTCATCAACATCGTCTCTAAACTTCTCGCTGGCATCATACTCCGTCGATTGTCTGCCGCACGTGAACGGTGTACGCGTGAGAACCAGGCTGGTTTTAAACCCGGTCGAGGTTGTATCGACCACATCTTCACTCTGCGCCAAATTCTGGAGCACCGGCATTCTTTTCGTAGACCCACCATCTCTGTCTTCCTAGATCTGAAAGCGGCTTTCGACTCAGTCGACCGCTTTAAACTCTGGCGCTGCATTTCCCTGAAGGGTGTGCCCGAGAAGTTTATTTCAATATTACAATACCTGTATAATAATAGCCGAAGCAGAGTCCGAGCTTGCGGCACTTTTTCACCCGAGTTCACCACAGAAAGTGGTGTTCGACAGAGTTGCCATCTCTCTCCATTTCTATTTAACTTTGTTATAGATTTAATTCTCGAAACAGCCCTATCCTCGTGCGGGGATAGCGGCATCAATTTACTCCCAGGTAACAGACCGTCTGATCTAGAGTATGCAGACGACATTGTGCTACCTAAGTGAAGATGCAGGTAAGTTGAAAGCTTTTTTGGTTCATGCCGGGGCTTGTGACTACAATACCGTTTGTGTTGCATTTGAGGATTTCTATTTACAGGAGTAGCGCATATTAGATGTTCCTTGTAGTACCGTTATGCGGCATTCAACTCATTGGCAATCGGGCTGTAAAAGCACATCACGATAGACGGCAATTACATTCGTCGCACTTTGACTATTGTTATACGCATCTGAAATATGGAGAACGTTAAGTTGGATGGACAGAAAAGGTCCTATCGTCTCATCAGTGCGGAAGATCGACGGAGAGCAATTGAATGTGCACTTCGAGGTGATGATCTGAAAAAAAAGTTGTCAAACACCTCGACAAAAAGATCCAGACAAGTCGTGCTATTAGTGCAGTCACGAATCGGGAAATAATAACACCCAGACTACGAGGTATTACGGGTCGAGGCTAAAAGATTGCGGGTTTCAGTTAAAACTTGATGGGAACAGGTGTAGACCATCACTGGGAGAAGCTGGCTGCATCAGATCAATCTCCTTCTGAGTGTCAAATAGACGGTTTTGTTGAATTGACGCGACAACCTCGAACTGGAGTGTTCAAATGATCACGGGCAGTTAATCCCGCGGAGGGAATCAGAGAATGAAATAAAAAACAAGTGCATACAAAACGTTTATAAAATATGCTTTATTCGTCTAAGGTGATTATTTTATACAAAACGCATGATGGTCTGTGTAAATATAAACAGAGTTTAAAGAGAAAGTTCTGTGGCGTGCAAGGATGCCACAGCAGTAAATGCGATGCGCAAAATAGGATAACTTCCGTACAATCTCCTGTCTTCCTGAGTTGACGTGACCAGACTCTTGCTTTCTCTAACTCTCTCTCTCTCTTTCTCTAAGACGCGATGAACCGAATGTGCCGGCAATCGGTCATTTCAAAGCGGATACTCACTGAACGGAGTGTGGTTGCGGATCTGTATTCCCCGGTCCTGTCTCCATCCGCGCTTCCTCGTTCAGTTTGACTGCTGTGAGAGCGTAATTGACAGACAAATTGCTTGTCCAACTCCACGACGCGGTTAACGGGTTGTAGGTCATACCAAGCAACTGATGCGGACGAAATCCGTCTGATAGAAACGGATTAAAAACAAACAAATGCATCGATCAAGTCAGCAATACAGATGCTTAAAAAGACTGGAAATGATCAATAGATTAGTTATCGTCAAGTGTTTCGTATTCGATCATGGTTTACTACACCATACCATAGATAGCTACTGATGGTAAAAAGGTGAGCTTCTCTCGTGCTATCGTCTCTCGAGGGAAGTACTACTGTCGAACCTAACTAAAAGCCTTATGTGCTGCATCATTGATCATCTCAAAGTCGAAAACTGCGCGGACTGCAATCCGACACCAGTTTTGAACTCAGCCGAGCTATCCGTTCGGTTTACACCTTCCGTCCAACTTCATACTACTGACACCTACAAGCAAAGGTTTTCAGTTCGTGTGACTGATAGTCAAAGTTTCTTTCCCTCTCTCAATGATTACTTGCGCATTTTCTGACTGTCCTTCAAAAGTACAGAGTGATCACCTGTTGTTAACTGTTTGAAGTGCATTGTGGTGGTCCACATACCCTCGATTTACAAAAGATCCGACCTCTTCATTGGCTGTGCCAACTGTAGTGTTTAAGTAAATTTCATGGGCCAATTTTGATAAAACAACAGAATATAGATCAGAATGTTGAGTGCAAATTCAAGTGAAGGATGGAGAATTCATACAGAGTGATGTTAGGAGAATAATGAATGGATGCATGAGCGCCACTGATCGCGACACCCAGTCATATCGCTCAGTGTTCCCAACCATCGGTGAACGTGATCTCGGAGTCCCCAGCCAGGGAGCCTAACGGTACCTATGTGACCCAGTCTTCTGGTTAGGGTTTTCATACTCTCATGCCAGGTCTTCGTTTGACCACCCTTGATCTTTTTCCAACCGCTGCCTACGTCGGAAAATATCGCTCGCTGTGGCAACCTATCTGGTGACATGCAAAGCACATATCTCAACCAATGTAATCTATGAACGTCCTCCAGTGGACGACCGCGGTTAACTAAAAGTCTGCGCCTGACCTCAGCATTGCTCGTCCGGCTACACCACCAGACCCGTGCAATGCGGCCTACCCTAATATGACTTTGTTCTACAATCTGGACCAACTAATCCGAATGGTACCTCAATCAATTCGACTGAAGAACCTCAATCATATCTTTGTCGATGGAGCAGATAGATCCGATTCAATGTTCAATCGTTTTTTTCTGTAGTCCTCGGTTCCTGCATGTATTGTTTCACTTTGGCATACATACCAAGAGATTGCTTTTCGTTTTCGTAATAGACGTTTTCTCACACCGTCACACACCACATAGTGCGTTGCTAAGCGATGCTCAAGTATACCCACTTTTGAGTCCAACAGTTTCCAGTGGTGCTGCTTCAACCCACACTGAACCGAAATGCTAATCGATGTTTGTTCCCAGTGTCGTCCTTCCCTGATAGTCAGTCAGTCAGTCGACTTTTTTCGGCTTGACAGTTACGGACGGAGACACACAGTTGACTAGCTGTTTAGCTCACATCAAAAGACTCTCATCAAATCAGGTTTTTCATGCAGCTTTCGGAGCTAAATGACCACCCAAACTACCGGGCTGGATTGACAATTCACACTTAATTCACAGTTACTTGTGAGTAGTGGTGTGGGTTAAATGATATTGATTTTCAACTGACCACTCTTCGAAATTCATCTTCAAACACAATGTTCAGGGTTGTGAGGAATCCACAAGGCGGCGCCTGGACGAGGATAGTTGTTTATTACGAACCAGAGTTAGGGTCTAGACAGTTTGGTGTACATATAACAAGATGTCTCATTTTGAACATATCATCGCAAATGCCCGGAAAAACACAGGATACTGAATGGAACAGCCCATAGTGATTATTTTGAGCACAGTAATTCGCTCTAAATGGTCTTGTTAATTTTTGACCGTTGAAAAATACCGCCAAACGATCGATTATTGTGAGTGGTACCTCACAACAGTTCGGTTTCAGTCAACCATACACTCGTGGAAGCACGATGAACTGGAGTTTCGCTCTCTCTCTCGCGCGCGCATTACAGCTCACATTGGTGATTTCACGAGCACTATTATTATTATTATTATTATTATTATTATTATTATTATTATTATTATTATTATTATTATTATTATTATATGAAACATTCTTCCCTCCCCCCCCCTGTGATCCAATTTTAATAAAACGAGTAACACAATGTGAGCAGAATTGATATTGGTCATCAATCTCGCGTGCTTTCAATCAACTGTTGTCCACGCACATTAAATAGGTCGAACTTTTTTAAGAAAAATACCACATATATGGACAGTTAAATAATTTAATGGGTTCAGGCAGAAAGTACTGGGTTGTTGAGTTAGTACTAAAATCATTTGGGTACGGTTGAACGAGAAGAACGGGCTAGTGATTCAGAAAAAGGGGAATGTTCGCATAGAAACAGTTACTTAGTGGAAAACGATTAGTCGTGGAGGAGCGTTTAATATGGTCATATAATACAAAAAAGATACAACCAGACAGACAGACGTAGAAAGATAACACAGAGTAAAAAAATTGGTCAATTACGTAGGTCAAAGAGAGTTACGTAATAAGGAGATGAGAAGGGTGAAGTGTCAACGCAGATGTAAGGGAACGGCTGATACGATGAAGTGATAGAAACCGAACTCAGAGATGTGACGATTGTTTTGTCCTCTAACGGTTATCCCCTGCCTCTTATAGAGAAATACTACACACCTACCATTCCCAGGCCAACGTACAATACGGTCGAAAAGAAACCAGCTTTCATTGGTGTACCATTTAAAGGAGAAACGATGTAATTGCACGAGTTGGTCATCGGCCTCATATTACAGTTGAGTCTATCTATCCTGCCGCGAAGCTGATCATGGTGTTCATTATTGCGGTCAAGAATCGACAGATCCATCGATTCAGTCATCTCCAATTGCATTTACCTTTTTCAATGTACTTGCGGTTTGCGGTACATCGGAAGGACTGAACGCCGGCTGTCGACCAGAATGAGTGAGCATGTTTTGAATAACATAGCATTTCGAGGAAGAGAACTTCAAGCAAGCGCAGTGGTACGACATTTGCTGGACACTGTATTGACAAACACAAAACTTACCGCATTGTGCTTAAAAATGCGAAGTCCAAGGATGATTGGGTATGCTGGAACGGTTGTTATTAGCCGTTTAAAGCCTGATCTATGCGTGTAAAAGGCCTTTGGTATGCATCTATTGTTACCATGGTAATTCCTCTCCCCCTTCCTCCCCATCATCTCAACCGTTCCCTTAAATCTGCGTTGACACTTCACCCTTCTCATCTCCTTATTACGTAACTCTCTTTGACCTACCACACCTTTTCCCGCATTGATACTATCGGACCATGGGACCACTATAACCGGACGTGTGTTCTTCCATGATTTCAGGTTTTTGTATGCAGTTCACCCAATTGACGCGTTTAATTATTTGATTTTGACGATGTAGTGTTCGGAAACACACACAAAAACCGTTTCCGTCATATTTATCTATGGGTTGCTTTCGGGGTATTCGAATCGATGTAAGCCTCGACATGCTTGGATCTTTGTCTAATAAACAACCTGGTTCTTGTGAGAACATATGTGAAACGAAAGGCCAGTTCATTCATTGGGCGGAGCAGTCCACGTTGTCATTCATGCAACTACTTCCTCTTTCAAGGCACAATCCTGCATAATATGTGAACACTTCATCGATTACCGTGCCGAGAAAGGAGTTTACAAAGAAGACGGACTTCTAAAACACCACGAATCGATCCTTCTGGCCTTCTTTGAATACGAGGGTACATACGTCATCCGACAATTGATATCTTCATTCAACCTATATGACGTACTTAACCTACTCCATCTGAGTGGAGTTTAGAGGACGGTTTACTCATTTTCAAAAGTGGTACTTGTTAGGACGGAGCTTAAACAAACCGTCAGGTCGCGCACGCCCTCGTATCAGGTCATACGCACGCTCGCGACGCTTCAGGTAAGTTGGGTCCGGATCGGATGACTGCAGAACAAGTCAGCCAGTGGTTGTCCGATCGATCAATTGAAATGTCAAGGACGCAATCTGATTGGTGCGTCACAACTCTGTTCTCGAACGTGTGATTTACCCTATCTATATATTTGCGTACCATAGAATACACGTTGACTGTTCTCTCTGGTCGTGTTTTCTCTTCCTCCGGGTTGTAGTTGTTCTTGGGGCTGAAGCAAAAATCGCTTCTTTCACTCATACGTCTAGACCGAACACAACAGTCCTCGTCGTCATTGTTCCTCACATTGTGTATGAGCCTCATATTCACTCGCATCCAAGATGATTCTCCTCAGACTCACTTGTATGTAGAACCGTCACATAAGTCAAGAACAGACCGGATTCCGTAATGGTAGAGGTAATTATTCAGTCTGCACCAAGTCTTTGAACTTCCCCAACTGAACAATCGGTATCGTTTCCCGCGGGAAGAGCAGCTCTAAGGGTTTATCTATCGGGAAAATGCATGTCGGACAAGTATATAACCCTCCGCGAACCGGTCTACTCAGAAAAGCCGGGTCTATGACCACTTCCCTATCCATTCGCAATCAAGGGCGCGGGGTTCGATAGGGCTGTCGGGCTTCGCTCTACCCACTCAATTCTGAATAAAAATAGATTCTAAGAAGTACTTTAGAAAACTGGTATCATTCTGACATGGCACTACTTCCTCGTTCGTGATACGAAGTATTCAGATGACATTGTTGTAATTTGCGACTCCTCTCAAAACGTTCAAGATATCCTAGACAAGGTAGAAAAGAATTTCTCATAATTTTGGGCAAAATACCACAATAACATTCAAGGATAACCAGTTAGAAATTGTTAAGCACCCTGTATCCGTGGGCCTGGCTTCGGCTCACCATCCACAAAACCCGAGTGAAGTTTGACAACCTGCGTGATTTGTAGTGCGGATGTGATCTCAGTCTTTCTTCGAAAAGCGTAGTTCGCCATACGTGTACGGAGCCTTAATCTACCGCTGCTAGAGTCAGCTTGATTGTGTAAGGGGACGAAATAAATGGATAAATGTATTTTACCACCGTTGTCAGAATGCAGAAAGCCGTGAATCGAATCAACAACAAGATTTGTCGAAAAATTCGTGTTTCTCGGCTTCCAGGCACATATATAATGTGTCATTTCTGTCCATTCCTATGTAGGTGATTACTTATTGTGAGGTACTACTGACAATTGTGAGTAGTTTGAGCAAACAAAGAAGCGATTGTTGGATTCCCACGGCATCCGTGTATGGATTAAAGGATTTACTGTTGTTAATATAGAAGAGATAAACAGAATATCAAGCTGACGAGCACTGATGATGAGACGATCACGAAAATACTAAACGACTGTTGCAAATCACATGTTTTGTTCTACACAGGATTGATTGATAACGGCACTAATCTACGTGCTGCTCTGTCGAATGACGATGGATAGCTTATTTCTCAATTCCCAGTAATAGAATTACCAACACGATTCCTATCACCTTTATTAAATGCACATAAATCAAATTTTGCGATTAGACATGTGTATAAAAAGGTTGACAATGTAAATAATAGCCGTGCTTTCATTGGGACCTCCCCCCGCTCCCATAAAGGAAAACCTTGATGCCGCAAAAAAAAAACAATCGAAAATAGATAAGATTCTTCACAAAACTGGGTGCGATTTGCACACACTTCCACTGTCTTCGCTTACACAAAAAAATAAGCACAAGTCCACTATGAACGACCACAAATGTGATTGTCCAGAGCTAGTTGAAAGTGACATTATGGAGGTCCTGTGTGTGTGAAAATTACAACTGTGTAGTGGAGCCGGACCAAGAAGCTGGGTGGACTAAATCCGGGGTGGGGGGGGACACACTGACACTGTAAAATCGATCATAATGATCGATACTTACTTCTGATGAGCGCCGCTTGCAACCGACTGGGCTCGATGAATTTCCGCCAATCATGCGTACCACGTGGAACGAGGCCCAGCAGGTATTCCGCCGCAACAATCCCACAGAGGAAAGAGGATCGGGTCTGGTTGAGGGTGGTCACGAACAGCGTGCCTCCCGGCTGAGAGTGGATTAGAAACGAAAATCAGCAAAGGACAACATTCAATGGTGAGATGATCACGGCTTTCATGCTTAGCGGTTTTAGTTTCAGTTTGAACAATCACTACCGATGCACTATCGTGCGCCTGTTTTGACTGCCCATTAGGATGAACAATAGGAGGAAAACAGGAAAATTGAAAGTAGAATCGAACAGAAAATGGATAAGTTCAGTGGTCTAAAGATTTCGAAGAAATTGAGAAGATGTACGAACACCGCTGTTTACGACACTCATCTATAGCATTGTTTCTCTAACTATCGGCTACGATCATCTCGAGGTCCGCAGCCACAAAACTTACGGGGCCTATGTGACCCAGTCTCCTGGGATGAGGTGATCACCAGAACACTAAGAATAGATGATGAATAAAGTGCAATCGAGGTGCAAAAATACGACCCAAGGGAGGGAATTTCCAACCCCGGATATACTACTGACCGTTATATTAAGTCAAACCGCACCGGCCAAATTGGTCCATGTAAAAAAAGAAAAAAAATGGTTGACCGATTTAGCATTAGAGAATCACCTACATCCAACTACGAACCGATAATCAACGCACCAGCGGACAACACACTGAACAGAAACCCGAAGGTTGTGCGTGATAGGTGCCCAGAAGCTTCCACACGGGTGCTCCGTTCACGCTCCCGCGTTGGATTTACGCCCCACTGCCTTGTGGGTCAGATTTTTGAGTTACCGCGAAGTATGTCGTGCCTCAAAGTCTTAGGTACCCATTTGTTCGAACATCGCTGTCTACACAGAATTGAACGAATCTGATGGGGCAGCCGGACGAACAATCTTGGGATCAGGCAACAGCGGTCACCCACTGGAGCAAGTGGTCGACCTGTATAGATTACGCTGGTTGGGGCATATGTTACGCATGTCACCAGATAGGTTGCCACGCGAGCGATGTTTGTCTAGGCAGGTAATGGGTGAAATAAAGCCAAAGGTGGTCAACCTCGGACCTGGCACGAGGGTATAAAATCCCCAACCAGGGCACTGGGTCACATAAGTCCCGTTAGGCTCCCTGGATGGAGACCCCGGAATGATCGGAACCGTTGGTTACAGACACTGAGTGATATGGCCTGTCGCTCATGCATCCTGTCAATTTCTTTGCAACCTTGGACCATTAAAATTTCGATTTTTTTGCTCGACTGTGCTCTCAACTTTCATGACTTTTACTATTCTTCATCCAAACGGGCAGCCAAAAGACAGCAACCAAAATTGGCACATGAGGGTGCACGGTTAATTATTTTACAAAAACTGAAATGAACTCTATTTCTGTTGTTGTCTTTTTACTGTTGGGATTGTAAACTGTCGTATCCCAATTAAGCAAGCAGATAAGCACGCAGTGAATTAGGCAGTACGGTTATTGCGATAGGGGCATATTTAGCCGGTCAGTAGGCCGCTGAACAAGCAGAAGCGCGGCAACATGTTGGAAGCAGGCAGGAAGACCAAAAGTTACACGACATCCGAATGCGGTCAAGCCGGCGTTCAAACAGTTCAATCAGCATGTGAACAGTTCAATACTAACGTCGGATTGGCTGGAGCCGATCCATATTGTAATAAAGTCAGACCATCATCATCACCGTACAGCGAAATACCGCGAAGCGAACATCACTGACCGCTGCCAAACTCACAATGCATACAAGGTTAGTGATAAAATTTAAGGTGGACAAGGATTGGATCTATTTTGACGAACGGAGAAGAAGATGAGCCAATATGGTCAACACACAGAGTACGCAATCGAAATCTGCATACATACAGTTTCAAGCATTCTGACCTGATAAGAAACGACAACAAGAACGTCACTGCTGCCGGTTCGCTGCCATATCCTTCAATGTCTCCAACCAACCGGTTGTGGAGTCTTTCGGACCCCAACCTGGAAGGCGAGAGACACCTACTGTACCTAATGGCTCTGTGCATTTCTTCATGCCTCGTCTCCACGTCATTTGTTGACCTCCACGCGGTTTCCTCCAGTCCGGCTTAGCTACAG